AGGGCATATCAAAACCTGTTTTTGAAGAGCCTCTTGATGTTAAGGGCATTTTGCATATCGTTGGGGCTGCTGTTCAAGGAATCTAAATTTAACACTTGCTTAGATGCATGGGAACTACTTTCAAGGTACTCTGGGATCCTGACAAACCACAGATTTAAAAAACAAAAACAAAAAAACAGAGCTAAGTTGCAATTGCAGGATTAGTTTTCAAACAGAGAGTCAGACTGCCACTGGACTCCAGAGAGCCCCAAGCTGCCTTCCAACAAAGAGAATGATTTATGAATGTGTCTATATATTACTCCGTCCTTTCACCTCCCAGTATTTCCTCTAATCTGCCCCAGACACAAGTATGACTGTTCCAGGAAGTGCCAACAATACCTCTCTGCATACTCAGAAGGACTTCTCCTAAATCATGCCACAAATCCATTGGACAGCAACAGTCCCAAAAAATTAACGTAATGACGGCAGTACTATGTTTCCAAAGAAAACAGCTGAATCTTTATCAGGATACTAAATGGCTGTCCAATTCCCCCAGTTATAGGGAAAGCAGCAATGTGAAAAAATAAAAAGGCTCCCAAAGCCACACACACACACACACACACACACACACACACACACACACACAAAGAGCTTTGGCAGATAGCCTCGAAAACAAAGAAAATAAGTTCCTTCAAGTTTTGTAAGCCTAGACAATGCAAACGCAAATAAGTGGAGCTACTAAATATATGCCGCCCTGGGCCGTCTGGGTAGGGCGGGATATAAATCCCTAAATAAATAAATAAATAAATAAATAAATAAATATGAACACCCTGACTTGGATAGGCCAAGCTAGCCCTATCATATCAGATCTCGGAAGCTAAGCAGGGTTGACCCTAGGTGGTTCTTGGATGGGGAGACCACCAAGGAATTCCAGGATTCTGACGAAGAGGCAGGCAGTGGCAAACCACCCCACAACATCTCTTGCCTTGAAAACGCTGCTGGGGGTGCCGTTAAGTTGGCTTCAGCCTGCCAGCACTGAACGCCCATAAATACATGAACATTTAATACGGCATCATTAAAAATCCTCCCTTGGGAAAACAAACAACTGAAAACATGTTTACTCCGAAGTAAGACTTACAAAACTCCCTGCTGGAATAAACGTTGTGAACAAGGATTCTCATTTATTTTGCTCTGATAGACTAACATGGCTATCCGTCCAGAAAACTCCAAAGTTAGGCCTGGGATCTCAACAGGACTTACCCCCAAGTAAATATGGCTAGGACTGCAGCCTTAAATTATGGATTGGACTAGACAAATGGAGGCATCGCTGCACTGCTTTTTCAAGAGGAAAGCATGAAGGCGGAAAATGTAAACTTTCTCGACACCACATTGCGGTGAAATAAACCTCCTCAGTTTGTGGTTCCGAACTGGGAAGAAGCAGAGCTGGAAGCAAGAAGGATCCTGCCTGAAACACGCTACAGATAGGGATGCCAACCTCCAGGTGGAGCATGGAGATCTCCTGCTATTATAGTTGAACTCCAGACAACCAAAATCAGTTCCTCTAGAGAAAATGGCTGCCTTGGAGGGTGGACTCTATGGGATTATACCCTGCTGAGGTCTCTCCCCAGGGTTCACCACTAAAATCTCCAAGTTATTTTTGAACACAAAACTGGAAACCCTAGCTATAAAATGATAAGGATGGGTTTTTTTGGGGGGGCGTACCAGTGTTCCCTCTAAACTGTGTGTGAGAGTGGCCGCTCATTAACAAGAGGAGGAAGAGGAAAAAGAGTTGGATTTATACACAGTTGGATTTATACACAATGTACAGTTATGGTCACCACCAGTGTTTCCTCTAAGCTGAGTTAGTGTGAGCTAGCTCATAGTTTTTTAGCCTCCGGCTCACACATTTTTGTCTTAGCTCAGGAAGGAGGGCTCCAGAGCAAATTCATTTATGCAGGAGCCAAATCGCTCGCTCACAACTGTAATGCCAGCGGCTCACAAAGTAGAATTTTTGCTCACAAGAACCCATAGCTTAGAGGGAACATTGGTCACCACACCTCAAAAAGGATGTTATAGCATTGGGAAAAGTGCAGAAAAGGGCAACTCGAATGATAAAAGGGTTGGAACACTTTCCCTATGAAGAAAGGTTGAAGCGCTTAGGGCTCTTTAGTTTCGAGAAACGACGGCAGAGGGGTGACATGATCGAGGTTTATAAGGTTATGCATGGGATAGAGCAGGTAGAGAAAGAGGTACTTTTCTCCCTTTCTCACAATACAAGAACTCGTGGGCACTCCATGAAATTGCTCAGCAGTCAGGTTAGAACAGATAAAAGGAAGTCCTTCTTCACCCAGAGAGTGATTAACACATGGAATTCACTGCCACAGGAGGTGGTGGTGGCTGCAAGCATGGATGGCTTCAAGAGGGAATTAGATAAGCATATAGAGCAGAGGTCCATCAGTGGCTATTACCCACAAGGTATAGATAGGAACAGGGAGCTGCGGTGGCTCAAGTGGTTAAGACACTGAACTGCAGGCTGGAAGGTCGGTCGTTCTACAGTTCGAGACCCGGGTGCCGCATGACGGAGTGAGCTCCCATCTCTGGCCCCAGCTCCTGCCAGCCTAGCAGGATGAAAGCAAGAAACTGCAAGTAGATAAATAGGTACCACTTTGGTGGGAAGGTAACAGCGTTCCGCATGCCTCGGTGTTTAGTCATGCTGGCCACATGACCACAGAAATGTCTTTGGACAGCGCTGGCTCTTCAGCTTGGAAACGGAGACGAGCACCGCATCCCTAGAGTCAGATTCGACTGGCTTTTGAGCAAGGGAAACATTAATCTATAGATAGGGACTCTCAGGCTGGGGCAAGTGATGCTCTGTTTTCTTGGTGCTTGGGGGGGGAGGCAACAGTGGAAGGGCTTCTAGTGTCCTGGCCCCACTGCTGGACCTCTTGATGGCACCTGGTATTGTTGGCCACTGTGTGACAAAGTGTTGGACTGGATGGGCCATTGACCTGACCCAACACTGGCTTTTCTTATGTTCCCTTATGTTGTTATGTACCCCGCTCTTCACTCAGAGTCTCAGAGCGACTTGCAATCCCCTTCCGTTCCTCTCTTCCCACAACAGACACCCTGTGAGATAGGTGGGGCTGAGAGAGTTCTGAGAGAATAGCTCTGAGAGAACAGCTCTGAGAGAACTGTGGCTGACCCAAGGTCACCCAGCTGGCTGCATGTGGAGGAGTGGGGAATCAAACCCAGTTCTCCCAGATTAGAGTCTGCCCCTCTTAACCACTACACCACACTGGAAGCCCCTGCTCAGCAGCAATCTGGAGCCGCGCAGGGTCTTGCACTGCCCATTGCCCATTTTAAGAGTACAGCAGTTATATTCTGCTTGGGATGTGAACGGCTCCACTCAGTAGGGGGGAAAAATTAGAGGGAACATTGCGGGGGGGATGGGGTGAGACCTGCATGAACTCCCCAAAGAGCTGCAAAGCTTTAGAAGTTCTGTTTTAATACATCAAATGTAGATATTTTTACTCCCCTAGATATCGAGTCCAGGAGCACCTTAGAAACCAACATGATCTTTGGGGTACGAGCTTTCAAGAGTCAAAGCTCCCTTCATCGGATACCTTTGTCAAGACTAAAAAAAATTATACTCGGAAAATTCTTGTTGGTCTCTAAGCCGCTACTGGACTAAAAATCTAGCCATACTACCACAGACCAACACAGCTGCCCTTTGAAACTTTTACTCCAATTTCAGAGGAGTTGTTTAAACCAAACTCCTCAACAAGAAAGCCATGTGTGTAGAAGAAGAAGAAGAGATTGGATTTATACCCCGGCCTTCACTACCCCCAAAGGAGTCTCAGAGCAGCTTACAATCTCCTTTCCCTTCCCCTCCCCACCACAGACACCCTTGTGAGGTAAAAGAAGAAGAAGAAGAGATTGGATTTATACCCCGCCCTTCACTACCCCCAAAGGAGTCTCAGAGCGGCTTACAATCTCCTTTCCCTTCCCCTCCCCACCACAGACACCCTGTGAGGTAAAAGAAGAAGAAGAAGAGATTGGATTTATACCCTGCCCTTCACTACCCAAAGGAGTCTCAGAGCAGCTTACAATCTCCTTTCCCTTCCCCTCCCCACCACAGACACCCTGTGAGGTAAAAGAAGAAGAAGAAGAGATTGGATTTATACCCCGCCCTTCACTACCCAAAGGAGTCTCAGAGCGGCTTACAATCTCCTTTCCCTTCCCCTCCCCACAACAGACACCCTTGTGAGGTAAAAGAAGAAGAAGAAGAGATTGGATTTATACCCCGCCCTTCACTACCCAAAGGAGTCTCAGAGTGGCTTAGAAACTCCTTTCCCTTCCCCTCCCCACAACAGACACCCTGTGAGGTAGGTGGGGCTGAGAGAGCTCTGACAGAAACTGCTCTTTTTCAAGAACAGCTCTTGTCAGAACTAGGGCTTGCCCAAGGTCATCCAGCAGCTGCGAGTGGAGGAGTGGGGAATCAAACCCGGTTCTCCCAGATGAGACTCCGCACACTTAACCACTACACCAAACTGGCTAATTATAAGGCCCCATCAACATACATTAAAGATTTACAAAATCAAGTCATCAAAGAGGAATAGGCCCCCAACCCTGAGGAGCTTACAGAGACTAAACTGAAAAGTTTTGCTCTTTGAAGCAAGGAAGGGGACTTGACAATGCCTGGTAGACATCGGAATGAGCATGCAACCTCAGCTTCTATTCTTTTCTCTATTTTTTTGGTCTCAAATATCACTGTGAAAATCAGAAAGATTACTTCCACATTTGAAACATTAGCGGGGGCAACAGTATTGTTCTGTGTTTTTCTGGCCAGCTATTACAAAAACTGGCAGGGTGTTAAATCATTTCACTCTACTTATTTCAGAGCTTTGGAACCAGGAGGAGTGCATTTCCGAGAAGCCTGAGATGCTGCCGCTAAAGATGGATAGTTTTATGGCATATGGTAGGGCGGGGTAAAAATCCCCAAAATAAAGAAGCAAACTTACAGAAGAGGAATCTCAACAATCAGCTGGATGAGGACACACAGTAACTCTTCCATGAGGTCTTCGCATTCCGAACCTAAAAGAAAAGATAAAAATTCTGTTACTAGATGTTTTAATATTCGTCACCTTGCTTCCTTCCTTCACCATCTTGGTTCAGACTACTGTTTACTGAATATATGCAAACACCGGCCCCGACGTGAAGTTTAGTCAACATCTGTGCCGAAAAAAGTGCTGATATTCGGGGAAGGTGGAGATCTGCCACTCTCAAAATTCTCTGCCTTTGGATTGTCACCATTACTACCAAGGGACATGTTTAATATCCCTCGTTTGTCTGTAAGATGGTTAGAGTCCTGTGTCAACTGGGAATTTTGGCTCAAATTCTATACAGCGTGGGCAGAGCTGCACTACATAAACAGTAATTTTCCCACCTCCCAGTACAGTCATCTATCCCCCCCCCGCCCCCAGTGAGCCAGTGGACCCTGGGGAACACAATGGAGGTTGAAGTGAGGAGATGTTACAAGAAGGGGGGGGGGGCGGCACTGGCAAAAATCCATCCCCCACTATTCCACAAGTGGAAGTATGTATCGCCAGCAGCAAGAAAGCTTAAATATAATTGTGTGCCATCATATTGCAACCAACTCATGGAGACCCCAAGACCATGGGGTTTTCAAGGCAAGAAATGAGTATTTATTTTATTAGCTACATTATTTATAGTCCACCTTTCTCACAGGGACTCGAGGCGGATTACACACAGTGAGTCAGTACAATCGACAAAATGGGACATTGGATACCTAGTGCATTAGGGAGACTAGAAGTCTGGAACCACCTTAAAGAAACAGAAGCATGGCATAAGTATTAACACGACACATTAAGCAGAGGGGGAGAGGAGGATGGATTTATACCCCACCCTCCTCTTGGGGTCTCATAGCAGCTTACAATCTCCTTCCCTTCCTCTCCCCACAACAGACACCCTGTGAGGTAGGAGGGGCTGAAAGAGCTCTTTCGAGGACTGCTCTTGGGAGAACCGCTTAACCGCTCTGAGAGAACTTATGGCTGACCCAGGGTCACACCAGCAGCTGCATGCGGAGGAGTGGGGAATCAAACCCGGTTCTCCCAGATTAGAGTCTGCTGCTCTTAACCACTACACCAAACTGGAAGCCAGGAAGAAACTGAAGAGACCAAGAGGCCCAAAGATTTTTATTTATTCATTTAAAACATTTCTATTCCGCCCCAGCTCCTCAGACTCAAGGCGGCGATGAAAGCAGAGAAGAGAAAAAGGAAAGCCACCAAAGGGAGAGATTTTTTTTTTTAGTTCTGACGAAATAATTTGTACAAAGTGCTGTCGTCGTCTTCTTCCTGTGCTTTCCCTTACAACCACCCTGTGGGTCAGGTCACTATTAGTCTTATCTTACCGGAGGACGCCAATGCCCAGGGCGGCACAATGCAAACTGTTAATAAAAACCAGTCTTGTTCAGGATATCCAACTCTCTATTTTAATATGTTTCAGGCTTAACTTATACAGTCCCATCAAAGCAACAATTAAGATGCAGCAATATGGATGTTAGGACCAGTGTTCCCTCTAAACTGAGTTAGTGTGAGCCAGCTCACAGTTTTTTAGCCTCCAGCTCACACATTTCTGTCTTAGCGCAGGGAAGATGGCTCCAGAGCAGACTAATTTATGCAGCAGCCAAATCGCTCACTCACGACTTTAATGCCGGCAGCTCACAAAGTAGAATTTTTGCTCACAAGACTCCACAGCTTAGAGGGAATATTGGTTAGGACTTTTGTCTTGAACTCCTCAACATTTGGTATGTATCTGAAGGAAAGCAACGTTCCTGGGCTATGGTATGCTGAGTGCTTTTATGCTGCTGGTCCCAGCAAAAAGACAGATGGAGAACCACAGATCCGGAGGAGGAGGAAGGTTTCCACTGACGTTTTACAGTTTGTATATATAACATTACAGTCTGTATATATAACAAGAACACACAAAGTAGAAAATTTAAAGAGGGTTCCCATGTTGCAGAACGGGGTTAAAAATGAGTCAAAGGCTGAAAAGATTATCAGGTCAAGCCATATAAATGGACATAACAGCGACTGGAACATAATTAGCAATTCTTTCCCTGTGACTCTTCCTTACAAAAATCACTATCAGGACAGCACCAGCTGAAAAAATAAGCAGTGGGAAGTGTTTGTCTCTCAAGAAAAACCAGTCATTAAAGCAGAGAGACTTAACATTTAAGATCCCGTTTAATTGCTTTCATTTGACTCCTCTGGAGGAGCCAAGGGCAACAAGACTTTTTTTTTTTAAAAAAAATAATCATTATGTTTATCTGGGGACACTTCAGGACACTTTGACATCCTGGAGTTTACATACGTTTAGAGACGGCTTTTCAAGTAATCGTGGAAAGTGTTTAGAGAACTGTGCCTTGGCATAAAAGGGCATGTTCCACGCAAGTATTAGCCCAGCCTCCCAACATCCCAAATGAGGAAATTATCCCAATTTTATGGATGGTTAAACCAAAGCAGGAAACAATCAGTTGGCAGAAGATCACAGTGAAAGCAGAGATCGCACCAAAGAGGAACTCCTAATTTCCTGGTCTCTGGTTCCCTGTTCCAAACCAAGAGACCACACACAACCACCTTCTAGGAGATGTCATGTTGCCTGTTAAAACAGAGCAGTTAAATGCCACTCTTCTTCAGCCAACGTGTTGTTGTAAGTTTTGCTGCCCTGATTAGTGTCAATGGGCCCATCTCTATGGTTTTGCCTGGTGGGCTGATGTGCAGTCAGGGACCTTTTAAAAGAATGGCCATGTTCTTAATGATGGGGAATGCCTTCCCTAATGACAATCACTCTGCCCTCAAAGTGTGACACCAATCAGAGCTAGCAGGAGAAGCAGCTGTAACACAATTTGAGAGGAAGGGGAGATGTGAATCAAGTTGCACTGGAAGCAGTAAGAGCGTGTGTGTGGGCATGTGCGTGCACACACGCTGTCGGGAATATGATTCAGGATAAGTGGTTTTGGTGCCGACTATAGGAGTCCTGTTGCTTTTAATAATAAACCAAATGTTACAAAGCACCATGAGTTCCTAGTGCTCATTTATATGGAAACAAACTAAGCCCCAGAATTTCTCACCGCTCGGGAAAGTGTTCCACACTGCAGCCATGGGTAAAACACTTCCCTTCCATGCCTGACCCAAAAACATATTAATTGCATGACCCAAAACATATTAATGTACTTGCCGTGCTAGTCAGCCCATTCAGCTGTAGAGTTTGCACACAAGGGGTGAACCCATGGATCAGAGAAGGCACACACAGAACACCACGAAGAAGAAGCCTTTTACCAATGGCTGCCCTAACATCCACTTTGGCCCTTAATATTTGTCTTGATGGTGAAAGTTCATGCTTGGCTGTTCTCTTACAATGAGCTATTGGCTGGCTGACCACATTCTTAAGAACCACAGCCAGGAGGACGTACAAAATTATTTCAATATTTAACTGTGCATCTTTTAATATGAGAAATCCAACGTGGTAAACAGATTTTTGCCCAAATTTTGAAGACTGAAAAGAGAATATGGAGGAATACGCTGTTATGGGGAAATCGACGTATTATATAAATAACAGACCAAGTAGTGAATTTGAAAATAAATTGAGAGCTTTTTATAATTACAGATAGCGCTGTAACTGCAATACAGTATTATGTTTTGATTTATTTAATCAGTCGTTACCAATTCTGCACATTCATATGATTTTTAACAGTTAGTTATTTCCTTGTTGTTATAAATCATTTTAAATGGTTTTCCGGTAATTTTAAATTTATAAAATGTTGAGATAATTTATAAAATTTATAAAATAATTTTAAATTTATAAAATGTTGAGATAATCTGTTTACACGATTCTCTTCATAGTTCTTTTCAGAATGAGAATAGCGAATAATGTATTTTAGGGAAACAGTGTTATTGGTAATGTTATAATGTTCTGGCCACTGTGTGACACAGAGTGTTGGACTGGATGGGCCTTTGGCCTGATCCAACATTGGCGTCTCTTATGTTCTTATGTTCTTAATGTTATAATAATTTACCTAGACTTATTAATTCATTCATGTTTATATTGTCTTTAATATTTGTTTAAAAAGTGCCTTAAGTTTATTTTTCTTTCCCCCTCACATATTTTTCCTTTGTACCCTATATAAAATTAAAATAAAAAATACATTTAAAAATTATTTCAATATTTAACTGGGCATCTTTTGATATGAGAAATCCAACATCTTTTTCCAGATCAACGGCAAGCACCCCAGAGACAGTTACACAGATTTTTAGTGACTGGATTTCATTCATCTGTTCTCAGCACATGTCCTAACCTAGGCTGGAAGAACAAGGAAGTCCATGTATTAATGCTGATGGGAATCTCTCTCTCTCTCTCCCTCCCTCCACGGTGGGTTAAGAATTTTGACACCACCAGTCATTTACACTGGAGACAGCAGCAATTACTTTTATGAGCCACTTGAGATTCGAATCTGAACAGTTATTTTATGGCTATGCAGAAATACAGGGTAGAGGCACCCTTACAATAGGGCCTTAACTTGCAATTCATGAATTACAGAACAATGCAACTGCCAAAAATAAAATCCAAATGACAGCGACAGGGAGAGAGAAGACAAAGGAAAAGTTGGGGGGGGGGGGCAGAACAGCCACTTACTAGAATACCACAAATGAGCTTCAGGGGTGGGGAGAATGAGATATTAAGGCGAGAAACAACAAGAATTGATAAGAAATGTGAGAAGAAAGGGATTACAGACCCTTAAATAAGTATGGGCATTTTTAGTTCTATTGTGTTCTTTGGCTTTTTTGGGGGGAGGAATGGAAAGTGCCACCAAGATGCAGCTGATCCCGTAGTTTTCAAGGCAAGAGATGAACAGAGGTCATTTGCCATTGCCTGCCTCTGCATAGCAACCCAGGACTTCCTTGGCGGTCTCCCATGGAAGTACTGACCAGGTCCAACCCTGCTTAGCTTCTGAGATCTGACGAGATCGGGCGAGCCTGGGCCACCCACATCAGGGCAAAAGATATAGAGAGGTC